TGTGTGTGTGTGTGTGTGTGTGTGTGTGTGTGTGTGTGTGTGTGTGTGTGTGTGTGTGTGTGTATATATATATATATATATATAGATGTTATTAGCCTTAAAGTAACATTATCTTGAAATTAATTCAAATATTGTTCAAACAGCAGTACAGAGGACTGAAATAACATCTTTTAGATATTTCTTAAACAAAGTATACAAGCTTCTTGTTGATTTAAATACTACCAAAAATTACACCAGGTTAAAATGGTTGATAAAGTACACTTGTTTAGCACCTTTACTAAAGTTTTTAAATTTTGGAATTTGAATATAACTTTGAAACACTTTATTTACTATGTTTTTATATCTAAATACAGGGCTGGATCTTTGGGCGATGTATGATCCTACACAGGACACCAAAATCATCATTGGAATTAGTAGTTGTCATTTGTACAGAGGCAGGGGTGCCAAATGCAAGGTTTGCACAGGCCACAATTTTGCCTAAGACTGGCTCTGTCTAAATATCTATAGTTTGTTTTCTAACAGGAGAAAATGTTTGTACATGAAATATGTACGTTTCATCCAAAACTAGCATCTTCTTTCATGTCATGGTTATGATGAACAGTAAAATCAACAAACAAACATTGTGTTCATTGTTTTTGTAGAGCAACTTGTGTTCATATTTTGGCAGTTGCTTACCTTAAAATTACTGTAGTTAGAGTTGGGCAATTAATGGAACTTGTTAAGTGATTAATCTTCAGTCTTATTACTTGGTTACATTCAACTAATTGATATTTTCAAATTATGGCAAAAAAATGTTTTTCTTACATGAGAGACTAAAAAAAAAAACCTTTGCCACAAATTTGTTTTAAAGATAATCTGAATGTTTACTATTTGGTGAATTGCTAATGGTGAAAAGGCAGCTCTTTGGCTTTTTTTATTTTTAATATGCAGTAATAATCTCCCACTGGCCTGTGTACATCAAATAAATAATGAAAACAAATAACTATCAACGTTAAAAGTAATATTTTTATTTAAAGGATATTACAATTAGAAAATCATTGAGTAGCATCGTACATAATTTATGTACATTACTTGAGTATTATAAACATATTAGTGAATAAGGATTTGAATCATCAGGATATCTTGTAATCAGTCACCTATGATACTCGCCAAAATTAAATATATTTGATGTTCTACTCATGTGAAAAAAAAATGTTAAGGGTTTCGAACAGATATATTTTAACACTTTCACAGAACCATAAACTATTGCTCAAGCCAGTATATTTACTCTTACTGTGACATCGAAAGTCTAAATCTTGCTCTGTCCAGTCATATTTAAACTTTGTTTAAAGCTGTGTTTCATTAGTAAACGTTAAAACCACTTGGTGTGACATTCATAAAATGGTGACATCTAAGGCCTGTATATAAACGAAACTGAAAATTACATGGGAAATGCTTGAAAATCAAGAAACTGGTAATATACTCTTAAAGAGGTGTTAGGTTTTTGGCAAAAATAAAGTTATTCTTTGGGATGGACAGAAGAATTCTTATAAAAAATGTACAAATTCATTGTTTACAGGTGAAACTCCTGAGAGCTGAGTAGAAATGAAGTTTTAACATTTTCCCTCCTCAATTCTACTAAATAAATGTTAGAAAGCACAAAATATTGGTTCTAAAATATTTTAGTTAAAAATTGTTGGAAGTAGCATATAAAATTGGCTTTCAAATTTATGGCAAAAAATATGAAAAGCCAAATGAAAAACCGTTTAAAGGTATAATAATAAATATAATAATATTACATCCAGAGTAGTGACGTCGAGATGAAATACTTTGTATTCATGCTCCTGTCTTCTAAACTCTAGGCATAAGTAGTTTACTGCGCTCCTCCAGCTTACTTTAACTACATCATTTTTCTAGAGTGTCCACAGCTTATTGCTGGTCATCCTGGACCTGCTGAATCAATGGTCAGTATCGAAAAAACATATCTACTTTAATTCTTAGAAAACTGACGACATGGTGGGTCAGCTGGCATCTGGTGAGCCATTGGCTGAAACTAACAGCTCTGTCATCTTTGTTGCTTGGCAAAATATGGACGGTTCCTTTGCCAGTGCTCCACTAGTCCACAATTGAAGCAGACATTTTGCTTTTCCCGTTTTGGATGTCATACAGATGGAGGAATTGGCTTCTGTTGTAGCATATACACATTTGACAGACTTGAATAATGCTGTTCACTCACTGGAATTCAGAGCAGCTGCATCACAGTTACAGTAATGAATTTGTGGATGACTGGCTGTTAGCCATTTGGTTTGATTTAGACCAACATGGTGGAAGTACCTAGGTAGCAACATCTTTATTGGAATTGCCACTGCAGCTGCTATTATGAAGTGATCACTTTAAAGTGGGTCATGACAGATGTTGTTTCTATGAGTGTGCAGATGTCTCTTATTCTCAAATACTTTCAAATAAAATCGTTGGGGACTCCTACCATGGGTGTCATAAATACCTTGAAGTCATGAAGGTAGCAAGAACAACCAGGACCTTGACAAAGAAGTCCTAGCAACTACCAACCCAACTGCATGAAGAGAACTTTAGATGCCCCAAGCAGTTCCAGACTTCTGAAAGACCAACGCTGACATCATCAGATCATCCTGGCAAGCACAAAGGTTTCCACCAAACCTGGATAACGTCATCACCTTCACAGCGGACATTTAACAACAAGCTTTCACTGGAGAACTGAAGACATCTGTCGATCTCATCAAGGAAGCATGCTCTGCCACGTTTTACTGTTTTGACCTTCAAAATACGGACATTGAATTCCTTGAATCTTTTATAGAATGACGACATCACTAACGGCAGCAATCACTCCACTCAAAGAAAAGGTAAAAATGCTCCAATTTTTACACATGAAGATCAAGGTGGTATACAAAACAAAAAATACTATTTCACCTATACAACAACTCAGACATTATGACTAGTAACGAAACTTTACTCAATGCCAATAGTAACTTTAGCTTCGCTAATTTTAATATCTAAGCTTTAGTTTTCTAATTCAAGTGGAATAACGTTATTACGTAAAGATCTAAAAGTTAATTTTCCTAGCAATACCGCACTAATGAATTCATTTTATGTAACATTCACCCCTTCCCCATATTCATCAACTATTGAACTTCTCAAGTTTACCTCTCCCTCCTCAACTCACTCTGACATTTTATTACTTCAATCCATAATAAATCTAAACACCATAAAATCATTCTAAGGGATCTAAATTCCAATCATATAGAACGAAATTGCCGCTTACATAATACTAACTGTAATATATTTCACTGAAATTAATAAACAACATACACTCAAACATTGTGGATTAGTAACTCATGTCCATAACTTCTAAGAGAATATGGTAGATCACGACCCCGTATCTTTAGTATTGTTGTGTATCTGCTTATTTGTTAATTTCCCGTAGAAAGTCTTTCCGAGAAACTTCAACGATACAAGGCCTTTCTTAATTAAAACTAGTTTATTCTTTCTTGATACAACTTTGCAATACAAAGAATTTCCACAGTCAGTTTAACTTAACTACTTTTATAAAAACGCTATAATTCACAGGGATTCAC